AACTATGCTAAACATGGTGGGGAGATAAATATTCATCCATTGCTGAATGGAATTTAAAATGTTACAGCAATGTTAAAATGACCTGGATATTGCGTAACAAGTTTTACAAAAAATGTAATTATTACCTGGTTTATGTAACTATAACCCCTCTGTATATCACCTTGACAATAAAAATATATGAACTTGGACAGTGCTTTCTAAACTTGAAAGCTCTGTTAAAATACATTTCAAAAAAATAAATGCTGTGGCATTTATCCCAGAGTAATGCATTTCATTTTCACACAGAAACTTGTAAAGAAATAGTCTTAGAATCCTTATCAGTAGTAAAACTAAGAAACTACACAACTATTCCTAACTGATAAAAAATAAAAGAAAATGTGGCTCTTCAACCAAACCATTCTATTAATAAAAACAGGAGCTAAACTATCATATACATTGACTGGTTGAACCATAAGAAAGCTATACTGAATAATACAGTCAATCTTAAAATGGTACTCTTTTACATTTTCTTTTCATGAAGTGTTGGCCAGGGCTGAGGGAAAGAGGGAAATCTATGGCTCATGGACAGCCCCAGGAGTCTGTGCATTGGTAGGGAACAGTTCCTCCATGATGATGTTGACAACAGATAAACCCAAATATGTGGTACCTATATATTCTCAACATTCACACATACATGTAGGCTGCTCATGTGATAAGCACACTCAATGCACACACATTTGCACATGAACAAACACCAAAGTGTGCAAGTGACTACTGTAGAATCTCTATGGATTGAACCAATGCCAATTTCTTGATTTAAATAAGGTAGCAAAGTTATACAAGATGTTGGCACTGGATAGTCTTGGAGACGGATGCAAAAAACATCCTAGTAATTTTCTTCACAACTTTATGGACATTTATAATTATTTGAAAATAAATAATAAGAACATATAATAGTTTTCTTATTCCAAAGCACTGAAGAAATGACTTGTAATTTCTCAGTGGGAAAACAACAACAAGGAACTTTCTAACTCCTTCCCTCTACTGGCAGAAATGTCTGACTACTTTACATAGAAGTAGACTGCTGAATGCCATTCAGTAAGAGATATCCGACACTCTGTATTTGTACCCATAGAATTACAGTAGGCACAACACAGTAAAGCTTATATTTAAGTATTATATTATATGTTTCTGTTCTTAGTCTACATATTGTATAATTAAAAGCATGGCAGGAAGTAGGTATAGTCTAGATCCATGGTATAACTAATTCTACATGGAAGAATCCAGCAGGGGAAGTCTTCATCTGGATGTGTGTGTCTGCAGATTTTTGCAGGTTTTTGTACCACTAAATCTCTGTCATGTTTAGAAAATTTATATATTAGATACCTAATATCTAAACATGTTGAATTATTAAATAAATGTCACTAAAAGCATGTTGCTTAGGATTGTAAAATAAAATACCAAAAAAACATTTTAAAAATAGATTAAAAAATAAGATAGAATCCTGTGCCTTAACTGAGCTCCAAAAAGCCAACTAAAATAATTGTTCCCTTCACAGATTTTTTCTATGTAAGATCCATAGCTAAAACAGTATAACCAAGAGCAGATTAATTGTGCTATATTTATATAATAGACACTACATAGCAATGCAATTCAACATCTGGAAGTCGGCTCTAACCTTGTTCCATCTCTTGAATGGTGAGCACATGGAGACTCATCTGCAACTCATTTGTGAAGTGAAACAGGGGTGGGGAATTTCTTGTGTCTCAAGACAACCAAGTAATCATAAAATTAAAAATGTTAGCAAAGGAGTAATAAAAATTGATCATTCCTGTTAGGGTTCTATAGCTATTAAATGATGTCACTATTTCTACATATAAGAACAATTCAGAATTAAGAAATAAGTAGCATGGGTAATAGTATATTGTTTTGCCTTTGTCATATGCTCAGAGACTCAACTTGTGGATTGAGAAATCCCTTTGAGTATTCAGTAAAATTGTTAGAGAATTGTCTGAAGTAGCATGTTATTATAAAATTTAGGGAAAATTTTCCATTAAGCTATGATTCAGTGTACATAGCAGAAGTTTGAAAATCAGAGATGAAAACATTCAACTCAAATGTGACTTTTCCACTTGAAATCTGAAAATTGGAGAAACAATATATTTTGAGGAAAGTTGATTTTCAATTCATAATTGCATACTATTAAAATATCACCTTAATGAGTAGTGAACAACATATTTTACAATTTCAAATGGTCCCTTAAGTTCCTATTTTTACAGTATTGAGCCCTCCATGAAGAACACCTGTGTCTAATGAAACAGAACATTCAGGGAAGAGTGAGGCATGGTGCTTTGTAGTCACAATTAGATAGAAACCAGGCACCTGACAGGGCTCAGTGTGACCCAGAAGCACTTTCCCATACTCCTGTCAGAATGAGATGCATAGCAAGATTTAAATAAAATTGAATGAGATGAAGTATGTATGTTTGGTACACACATCCAGAGAGAGACTTTCCCTGATAGATTCTTCCATGTAGTTCGTTATACCATGGACCTAGGTTATACATACTTCCTCTGATTCTTCTAATTATACAATTTGTAGACAAAGAGCATACACATATAATTTAATACTTAAATATAAACTTTACTATGTTGTGCCTACTGTAGTTCTACGGTTATCTCTTACTGATGAACATTCTACTTCCTCCAACCAAGCAACCTGGCCCTGTGATTGGAACTAGGATTAGGATAACCCTAAAACCCCAGACTAGTCCAGATCTATTTCAGAACAATGACACCAACGTAGGACAAAAATCAGCATCCTATCACCTGGGTTATTACCCTGAGTTCAGAGAGAAGGAGAGGAAGAGAATGAGGGCAGAGATGAAAAGTGCTGCCAGGAAATTAAGAACACCAGAAAGTCAACAGAGAACTGATGGATCAAAAAGGACCCTATGTAAAGGACAGTGTCTTGGTTCAAGTTCCCATCTTCTATTTCAATTAGGCCCACAGAGTGTAAAAACAATAATCAGAGTTTCATGCCAAACAGTCCCATTTTGACAACCCAGTAAGTATACGTTGCCACTTTGATATCTTCCTTTGATCACCAGAAATTAGATCTCTGGCATAGCTCTCCTTCAGACATTCTGACAGAAAGGACAATTCAAGCATTGACTTTTGTCATTTGTCTCATCATTTTGTTGTTCCCTTTCCCTTCCTTAATTCAGATAAATATATATATAGTACACAGGGTACCAAAATAAAATACAGACAACAGGGGATAAACCATAGGAGAAAATAGAAAAAAAAACACGAGATGTACAAGTCATTATGTCCAAAAACGAACTTTACAACTTTGGTGGGGGTGGGGGAGGATCGCATAGGGGGGAGTGGGGAGTATGGGAAGGGATGGGAAGGGGAAACAAAGAGGGGCAACAAGTACTCCTTATCTTGCCCATGTAATTGTAACTCCTCTGTACAGTATTCTCACAATAAAAATAAATAAAATAAATAAAAATAAATAATGCAACAGCGATACTCACGAAACAGTATGTTGGAAATGAACCTTACAACTTGGTGGGGTGTGATGAGGGAGGGAAAGTGGGAGGAAAATGGGGGAGAAAGTAACAATGTTCAACAAGAAATGTACTCACTACCTTACATATATAACTCTATCCCCATTGTACATTATCTTGACAATAATATTGAATTAAAAAAAAGAATCAACTTTCCTTGGAGGGTCAGGAGAGAATGATATTATTTTACTCAAATCTGACTTGTTGAATGGTAATTTCTTATCTTACTAGTTAAAGATAATAAAAATGTAATTAAAATGGAATCATTTTTTCAATCTATATTACCCTCATGAAAACAAAAGTTTGAAACTAAAATTCAAAGCTTAACTTTTTTCTGTGGCTATCTTCCTCAGATCTATCCTCTTGACCATCATTCCATGAGAGGTTATCCATTCCCCAGATCCACAGGGGTCCATCCCTGCTGCTTTTAGGAAGGTGGATGGATTCTGAATATGTGAACAGACAGTCCACACAAAAGTTGTTTTGTAATTTGTGTGGACAAATGTGAGACGAAGGGTCGAAGTGATCTGCTGAAGATCAGTACAAGATGAGGACTTACTATTGCTAAATCAAGCAGAAGAATTGAAGGAGCCTAACTTCAAAACAGAGCTCCCAGACAATTAACTTTGTGCCTAAAAAATCTGAATATTGTTGAATTACGTGGGTGTCTGGATTAACTAAAACACAAGACACAGGAGTGGAAAAATCATTTAGGAAATATTGCCTTTTAAAATGAAACAGCTGGGCACTAGTGACTCAGGCTAGAAATCCTAGCTACTCAGGAGACTTAAATCTGAGGGTTGCAGTTCAAAGCCAGCTGGGGCAGAAAAGTCCATGAGATTCTTATCTCCAATTAACCACCAGAAAACCAGAAGTGGCACTGCGGCTCAAGTGGTGAGTGGTAGCCTTGACATGAAAATCTCAGGGACAGTTTCCAGTATCCAGAGTCTAGAATTCAAGCCCCATGAAATACATACATACATACATATATGTATATATATATATATATATATGTGTGTGTGTGTGTGTGTGTGTGTGTGTATGTACACCATATGCATAAAGAATCAAGAAATCCTATAGTCTGCAGTATGATGGATAGAAGTAGAAAACACCTTGTTAAACAAAGTACTAAAAACAAAGAGCATTGTCTATACTGCTTCTCACTCAAGCAGACTTTACAAAAATAAAGTGCAATAGTGATTCTGACAAGGGCACAGGATCAGAGCACAGGAGGTTGAACACAGAGGAAAGTTGGAAGACTATGATCAATGCACATAATACACATATACTGAGAAACCCAGAATCCCATTAATAGTTACATTAATAAAAAATAGGCTATCAGAAAATAAAGGAATAAAATCTGAAGCAATGAATCCATTCTTTGTATTAAAGGCAATTTGTGCTTAAAATACCATTATTTATTTTATTATTGCATAAATATCAACTGATGCCACAATTCAGACTCTCCAAGTATTAACTCGCCTTTTGTGACAACATTCTGAGCATGTGGAGGCAGCAGGAGGAGCAGCTGGGGCAGCCCAGACTCACACTTCAGCTTCCCTGGGAGGTTTCTGTTATGGCTTGTATCACTGTGGGAGGGATACTGCTACCCTGTTGACAGTAATAAGAGGCAGTATCTTCAGCCTCCAGGTCACTGATGGTGAGAGTGAACTCTAACCCAGATTGACTCCCACTGAACCTTGATGGAACTCCAGACTCCAAACTATCAGCAACATAGATCAAGAGTTTTGGAGCTTTCCCTGGTTGCTGCTGGTACCAGGCTAAACCATACCCAATGTCCTCACTGGCCCTGCAAGTGATGGTGGCAGTGTCTCCTAGAGACACAGACAGTGAAGATGGAGACTGGGTCATCTGGATATCACACTTGGCACCTGGAAACAGAAACATGAAAACAAATATCCACACTAATTATCAAGTTATAAGAAGGCATCCCTGAACAGTAAGCATCCTGGATCACACTGAGCTGTGTAAATCCCTAGCATTGTCCTTCTTTACCTGGGAGCCAGAGCAGCAGAATCCCCAGCAGCTGAACAGGGGCCCTCATGTCCATGCTGTGTGCTGACTTGGACTGACTGCTGCCTAATGTGAGCAGCCTATGAAGAAGTCCTGAGCACACTGGGCTGTGCCCTTGGTGCATGCAAATCAGCAGCAGAGTTATACACAGCTCTCCAGCTGCCTCATCTCAGCAACTCTGCACATTCTGAGTCTCAAGGAAATTAGGTCAGGCAAAAGAAAAAGTTTTAAACACAGAAGAGAATCACCAAGTTGCTTTCCTGTGATGTGAGCACAGGATCAAAGCTTCTTTTCTTCTTTTTCTTTAACTGAGTCAAGACTTGTTCACTGGAATGTTAGTTTCAGAAATTTACAAACAAATATTGCACAATATAAATTTGGCATTTCTTTATTATTATGCAGGACAGAAAGTTTTACAGTATCTCTGATTCACTGATAATATGTATGTGTCAATTTATCAGTACTGTTGTCCTGTAATGAAACCAATCCATGAAAGTGGAATAAGTGGAGCTGTTGTATTGATAAGAAAATGCCTGGACTTCTGTACTGTGCTGTTCAGCCTTATTATCTCCTTGATCTCTGAGTTTTTGTCCCAGGTGATCCATACAAGCACGTCCTTTCAGAGCCTTTCTCCCTTCATGTCTGAACAGCCTTCATAATTTTTACTGACCTAGAATTGTGTATCATTTTATATTTCCATTCTGAAGGTCCTCATATTATTCCTTCCGGCTTTAAAACATCTTTACCACAACTACTATGTTCAGAAGCAGAGATAGAGTCTCCTTAAAAGGGAGGATAAACTAAGGTTATCTTGAAGCCTATTTGTGTCCTACACCTACATATGTCCCCTCTGTTCAGTGGACTCTTCTAGTTCTGAGAAAACACTGTGCTGCACACTTGGGTTAAAGATATCAGGCCCAAGCAGAGTGAGTGTGTTGGAATCTCTGAACAGAGTCTTGAAATCAATAGAACATGGCAATGTCATCCATTTTGGGAGGAGGCAACATGGGAGAGCTGATTTTCTGTGCAAGTGAGAAATAGCATTGTTGACTCCATTGTAGGTGCTGAGATGGCGTGACCCAAGAGGACATCCATATTTGTTGGATTTGCCTGTGCAGCTGTCAGGGCTCAGGAAGTCACTATTGCATGGGATACAAAGTTGACTCATCTTATCCATGTTGTCACATTGTGAGGAATCTCTGAACAAATCTGGGGGTGGGGGCAGGGGTGTTTGATCTGATAATGTAAGTGACAGTAACACCAAGAGTTTCATATCACCCAGAAGAGTTGCTGATCATATGACTAAATTAATGAGGGAAAATTAGAACCAATATTCCTACTCTTGAGGTAAAAATAATAAATGAAAATATCATCTAATGTTAGTGACATATTTCAAAGATACTTTATACTGAATATTTAGTGGAAAAAAGAAAATCAGAAAATTTTTCTAAGAATTCATTTAATAATAACATAATTTTTGATGTGAGTGAAGTAATTACCATAAATTTACATATGTACACATGTATACATATGTATATATGAATGTGTACATATAAATATATGTACATATAGATGAATAGATGCACAAGTGAATAATTTTTTCTAATCTAGAAGTAATGATTCCTTAACTTTAATAACGGATAGCACCTTCATTAATTGACCTCATTTATTCTCTCATAAATAAAACCAGTGAGCTTTGTAGAACAGTTTATTTCTTTATCAAAAATAGGAAAAGAGGAAGATGAGTTTGGATCATTTTTTGTCACAAACTACAAATTCATTGTAGGTAGCATAAAGGAAGAGTGGAGAGAAATCAGCTAACAAGGAATGCTCAATTTTGAGCGTTTTTTGAATATTGAATAAATACCAAAGTATTCCATGAAATAAATTGTAAGTCCTTGGATTAGTAGTCATATTTTCACTAGGGATGTGATATCCATAAACCACCATATATTTCTCCACAAATCCTCGCAATTTCAAAGGAAAAAGAACAACTATATAGCAGAGAAATCCAACAGCCAACACCTTAATCTAGAATTGAAATAAAGATCAATAGTAATGATGTCCTGATAGAATATAGCAGCACTTCTGGACTTTTCTCACATATATCCATTACTGAGAGAACTTTGAGGGGAAAAAGGCACAAATCTAATCTGAGAGACATTCATCCACATGCTTAGTATGTGATCATCATGAGCAATAAGAACACAAAATTTAAGACCGAACTAAAAACCTGTTCCTTGGTGGTTTGATTATTGGGATGTGGTCTGACTACTTTGGTCTGACTCAACTGGAACCACATTCCTACTGTTCTCTGCTTTCCTAGAGGTTGAACTATAGGTGTGAGCCATTATGGCCATCATGACCATTAAAGTATTCTTTTGTTTGGAATTTTTGTTTCTTGAGATCATTCATCTACAGCCATCTCTTCACAAGTTCATAAACATGGTATGTACAGTGACTAAGCTTAAAGATTGAATTCACATGTCTGGTTAAGAGAACCTCAGTGACTTCAAACTGAGATCTTTTTGAAAATATAATGACATAGTAAGCTATATCTGTTAAAAAACAAAACCAAAAAGTAACACATACAATTTTTGACCACTGTTTTTATACTGCTACAGAATAAGAATACATGTAATTTCTTTTTTTAATTTTTTTATTTTTAAAAAACCCTACCATCTCTGACCTCCCATCTCCAAGAGTACACTTCCTTCACCCCACCTCCCCGCACTTCACCCACCTCCCCATTTCTTTTTAAATTATCATATATATATACATATATATATATATATATATATATATTGTAAAAATACTCTACAGAGGGGTTACAGATACATGAGTAAGGTAATGAGTACATTTCCTATCGAGCATTGTTATCTCCTCCTTTGGTTTTCCCCTACTGTCGCTTCCCTCCCCACTTCCCCAACTACTCCTTTTCCACAACTCCCCCAATGAAGTTGTAAAGTTTGGTTTCAATATAGCATCTTCTACATCTCATTGTTATAATGGGCCAATCTGTATCCTTATTTCAGCATTTTGTTATTTATATTACCCTCCCCAAAATAGAAAAATGTATATATAAGATGCAGGGCACCAGAATCAAATAGAGTGAAAACAGGGGTTATAACAAGGGGGAAGAACATACAAAAGAAACAAAACTATCACACATTACATTATAAATACATTAAAAAAACAGTAAGAAAGATAAAACCATTTGTGTCCCTATCTTGGGATTCATTTTGCTTACCATCATTTTACATGGTCATATGTACATAGCTTTTGAGCTTTTCTGCTTGTCCTAGACATATACTAGTCTTTGTCAGCATATATTAACTGTACAAGAAGGGTTTCATTGTGACATTCCACATAGTCATACAATGTACTCCATTAACCTCACACCCTTGATCTCTCATCCTTATCCCCATATTTCCCTTCTTAAAGCAGTTGCATGGGTTTTGCTAGCCTTTTTCATATATTCCACAGAAGCACTACAATAATCTTCACCTTCATAGAATTTCCTCCATTCATAGTCCTCCCTCCATAAAATGCCAACAGAGCCTATTTCATTCACTTTTCATTCATTTGTTTCATATATATATTAATTGTACCAAGGGCTTTCACCATGGTATCTCACCTGTGCATAAATCATATTTCCTTTCTGTTTCTTTCTGCTGGTTCTAGGGCTTGAACTCTGGGAATGACCAATGTCCCTAAGTATTTGTGTTCAATTCTATCTCTCTACCACTTACGCCACAGCTCCAGTTTCACCTTTTTTGTGGTTAATTGGAGATAAGAGTGTCACAGATTTTCCTGGCATGCTGATTTTGAACCACTATCCTTATATCTCAGCATCCTGAGTAGGTAGGATTACAGTATTGAGCCACAGGTGCCAGGTTACATATCATCTTTTAATCAGAACAACCCTCTCTATTAATCTTGCTTTTGGAGACATCAATGGTATTTTTTAAAGGATTGAACTCTTTCCATTGTGTTCTTTTCCTTTTTAATTTTATTTTAACATAAAATCGTTTAACTAGGGATACAGGGGGACCCATTGCAACAATGAGATGTACAAGTCATTATGTCGAAAAACAACGTTGGTGGGGGATGGGGGAGAATCAGATGGGGGAAAGGGGGCTAATATTGGAAGTGATGGGAAGGTGAAACAAAGAGTAGACAACAATGCTTGATAAGAAATGTACTCATTATCTTGCCCATGTAATTGTAACTCCTCTGTACGGTATTCTCACAATTAAAAAAATAGAATGCTTTACAGTTTAAAATAAATAAATAAATTAAATTAAATTTGAATCATAATTACATTGTGGATTTTTTACTAACATCGTAGGATATAAGATAAACTAGTTTTCCATTACTGAATAGCAGTGATTAGAACTCCATGATCATTTGGCAATATTTCTTTGATACTTGGCAGAGATTTCAGTTTACAATGAAGTGAACAGAAGAAACAGAAACAAAGGAAAATTCCAGAGAAGAATCACAAAGAAAAGTTAATACAGAAGCGTATTTGTATACTAAGATATGATTTTTGCCTACTTCTCTCTTCTACCCTTTTTGTACTCCTTCTGTATTGGGAGAAGGTTTGGGTTTTTGTTTCCCAATCCTAAGAAAGTATATACTCTTAGCCATGTGCAGGCTTCTTTCTCATATACCACTATCATGTCATTTTTTTCTCCATGAATCTAAGACCGACAAGGCCAAATCTTGGACAGATATTGATATGATCACAGCCAAGGGCATGGCTTGTCAGACACGCTACTCACCTTTCCTGCATATGTTCACTGCAATGGGTTTAGATTCAGCATCTTCCAAAGCAAACTGTCTACAAACAGTCATAGCTATTTGGAGTGAGAGCTTCCATATGTAATTGATGTACTGTAACAAATTGTTGCAAAAGATGAATTAATAAAGCAAACAGAAATGGCCATGGCCAATTTAAAGATTACAGGTAGAAAGTAATGCACAGTTCTAAAGAACTATCATTTTGAATCTGACTGACTTTATATAATAGGT